AAAAGAAACTTTTTTTTTTCCAATAAGTGCTTTGCCTTATAGAGGCAACGATTCGAATAGTGTGTCCAAATTAACATTTTCATCTCATCAAGCGTTGACTATGTAAAAGTTTTACCTTCATTTCGATTAGATAGCACATGTAGCATTACTTTCCACAACTCGAAACTACACTTGCTGGGAACGGAATTGAAATCAAATCTAGTTTTAGTGCAAATAATTTTAAATTTTCTTTCTTGGCTCGCGATTTTCGAAACTTCAATCTTTGTATATAAAACAATTTTCTTTTTTCATTTTTTTCCTTTTTTTATTTTTTTTTATTTTTTTTTTATTTTTGAAATATGCCTGAGATTGTTTGCGCCCAACATTTATACCATAAACCAAGCGAAACAGGTTTTAAATATTGTCAGAATTTTAAAGCAATCTTTTAATAATGATAATGATGATGATCATACATTATGAAGTGATTTTAGCTTACTTTGCCTGTGCATTCGTTTGTCCCTTAAGCGAAGGAATACAAAGGCCAACATGCAACAGCATCATCATTTTTTGTAGTAATTCGCATTTTTTTCTCACGCCACTTTCAAGTGGTTGCGAAATTTCAAAGTTTGAAAAGAAAAAAAAACTACAACTACAATGTATATAAAAAGGATATACATGACAGTTTTGTAATAAAGCCCAACAACGTAAGCAAAAAAAAAAAAAAAAAAAAAAAAAAGAAAAAAGAAACAACACAAGAAAAAAAGAAGCAAATAAATAAAAAAGAGAAAAAAAAATCATATCTCATTTTGGTTTAATGTTTGTTTTCACTAGAGAATGTCTGAGATTTTAAGATTTCGTTGGAATTGCAAGAAGAGGAAAAGCAAACGAATCACATAAACAAACTTCTTACATTTATTACTAATTAAACATGTAACACAATCTGTTTGCTGCTGCTTTCGCATATATACATATATATATATATATATATATATATATATGAATGCAGTTGCGTGCGTCTGTGTATTAAGTTGAATTGCAACAATAGCAACGGCCCACACGAAGAAGCAACAGATGACACCGCCGCCGCCGCCACACTGACTCTTTCGCATTTTCACGCTTACATACATTTTCACACATGCTCCTGGCTGCATGAAATGCTTTTCGAGTTCATAGTTCTTCTCGTTTGTCCGTCCGAACATACATTCATCCGTTTTTTTTTGTCCGTCTGTCTATTCGTCCCTCTGTCTGTTCATTCATTCACTCATTCATTCATTCATTCTCTCATTCATTCATTCATTCATTCATTTATTCATTCATTCATCTCACTGTCTGGCTTGCCTGCTTTAAAAAAAAAAAACTATGCAGTGTCATGCATAATGGTAACGCCTGTTTCCGGTGGCAATATGAGCGCATGTTGCACATTTATTAGATTTGTTTGCTTTTACTATAATCGCTGTGCTACTTGCTCTCTGTCCCGTGACTTGGCCTGGTATGATTTAATAGTAGCCTTAATAATTACTATTTCACGCGTTCGATTGATTCAATTTTCATTACAAATCTCTAAAGATCAGAGTCCTCCAACGGGATTTTCGCTTGTCATGACGCACAAAACATATGTTAAACGTTAACGTTTTTCTACACTGGATGGAACCACTCCACGAATATAGAATATAGGGATCAACGAAATATATGTACGCAAGTACATATGTACGTAATCGATTATTATACGTAAATCGATTATATTCACAAGATCTGCATATATGTCGCTTAATTCACGAAAATCTCGGACACATTTACATTATCCATATATTCGTTGCATCATCCCCACCCAATGAAGCAAATACAAGCGAAATCTTTCAATATAGAAAAAAAGATATTTGCAATAATTTTAAGATATCACGTGAAACGATTTTTTTTTTTTTTTTTGACATTTTTTCGATGGACATTTAAGTTGATCGTAACAGTAAATAAAGTAAATAAATGTTTGAAAATTATACTCGAACTATATAGTTTTGTATTTACGCCATCCTCAACTCCTGTCAATTCTGAGCAATTTTATATTGACTTGTGCTTGCTGTTCTCGTGTGGGCTTCTTATGTGTGCATACACTGTAATTGCCGCTAATTAAAGTTCAGCTTAATGTATTAATTGTAAATGTTATGCATTTTCTTACAATATTCTTAGCACAACAGATTTAATAAGAAATAAAATTGTTGTCAGCCTTTTGTCGATTGAGAACGATTTGCATCAAGATGGGTTTGTTTTGATCTCGGCTAAAGGGTTTAACGGCCATAAATTTGGCATTTCATTCATTTTTGTAAAACCTATTGCTTTTCGATATTTGATTCTTTCTTTCTTTTGTTCTTTCATACGTTATTTTCATTACAGAGCATAATTTTTCCGTGTACACGGCCAGTACAATAGCTGCTTCAAGTATCGCTGCTGCTCTTAGTGGTTTAAATTGGCATCTACGTACCGGTCAAAATTTACGTCATTTATTTAATCTTCTCACCGATTTAACTAGCGTTGAACAGGTAAGAGAACTTAAAATATTTGAAAAAAAAAAGCGAGAAAATTATGTTCGGTCCTCACCGAATTTTTTATACCCATTACCCATTATTCTAAAAATGAAAAAGGAGTAAAATTAAATGCATTTTTCATCCACTTTCATGCATGGAGTGGACGCGACTGAATTTTTATCTATTTTCAAAATAAAAACTTTTTGTCCCCTAGGTGTGTGTAGGTCGTTGTAAGCTTGTCTTGCGAAAAAGTCATCAATGGTCATTGCTAAATCCTTTTGCAAATTTGTACACGATATATATGCATCTTCGCAAGCCGGAGAATGTTTACCACAGATGCTACTTAGTTGGGCAGACGGACAGATGAACTTGCTTAGGTGCATTCTAAATTTGAAATTGGCCAAGAATTTATATATTTTGTAGGCATTTTGCTATAATATTGGGCAGACGCGGTCTGCCTTAACCATTTTTGTACAGCATCGCCCATGCGTTCAAATTGTTGTACATTTCTCGGTTGTAGTTTATGAGTAATGAGCAAGAATACAATTTTTTATTGGGTTTGAAAAACAGATGTATTCTAAGTTTACGTTGCGTTGTGGGCGTGTCCTTCGATCGATTTGGCCCAACCTGCGTGCAATAACTTGCAATGTTGCTGCCAAATTTTGAAGTCGATTGCTTCATTTCTGCGAGGAGAATGCTTACAACAGATATTATACAGACTGACAGACGGGGACAAACAAATTTCATGCTAATTAAGAATGGAGTCTCGGACGCTACCTTCTGGGCATTCCAAACGTTTTGACAAAATGAATACACTATTCCGTTGTTCGTTGTTCGGGTATAAAAACTGTCGCAGACTGTCAAGTTATTTATATGCTGCAGACATGCTAAACTCCATTTCCCAGGATCATATTATGCAATTTTATCGGTTGTGTTTCAAAATAAATTAGTTTTAATGAGTCTATAGCAATTTGCAAATTAATTAAATGTCGAGGTCGCATTTATTAACACAAATCATTTTATGTATAGTGAGTGTCATTGTCGTCACAGTGCGACACACCATATATAGGCGTTTTAAAATTTTTCAAGTTCACTCCAGGCCAAGGAGAGAAAGTAAATTCTCAACTCAATGTCTTCTTGTTTTTATTTTTATTTTAATGAATTCTTTTAATATTATTATTTTTTTTTTATTTTTTTTTTTTTTTTTATTTCTACGAAAGACTTTTATTTACATAACACATGGAATTCGTTTCTATTATCGATTGTGTGAGAATGTGAGAAACACAGTTTGGTGTTTCCTTTTTTGTTATTTTACTACATTAATTCCTAGAAATATATTTCCCACAATTAAATATTTCATTGTCGACACACATACACATATACGTATATATATACATTGGTGCGGTTTTATATATACTAGTGATACTGCTAGAAACTACTAGAAGTGTCATCTCACTCATTTTTATGGCTGATCAAAGCATTCTTATGTGGAAACTTTTATTGGCAAAGCAACGAATTCTTGGTTCGCCCCCGCAATCTTAACTTGGACGATATATATATATATATACATTTATTTTTTTCCTAGAATTTTGTGCCGGATTTTAGTTCATATTATTGATGTGTGCAGAAATATAATTCCGATCTAATAAAGAAAGCAAAAATGCTCAGTCATTCAAATTTGTTGACAGAAAGCTAATAAAAGAAGAACTTCATTATTATATATATATGTATATATATATATTTATATAAATATAAATATATAAATATATAAATATAAATATATATATATATATAATTCGTGGAAATTATAAGTAAACATTTTGTTTATGAGTTGCATTCCATTTCAGGATATAAGCTTAACGCGGACCCGCTCAAAATATGAAATTTAAATTTCGATCGAAATGCGAGAAATATAACTTTTTACAAACTATCATGTAATTGTATATAGAAATCGCTATTATTTGCAATATCCTGCGTTCGAAATTTGATTTACAATTTGTAACACGCTTAGCTTTTAATGACTATATCGAAGTTCACTTGACTTATTACTACTAGCACTTACTTTGTCCGTAAATTTGATTTACCTTTTATTTAAAAAAAATTTAAATTTCATGAAAATATCTTTATATGTCATTTTTTTATTTTTTATTTTTATTTGTATTTTCAATATTCAATAAATAATGCAACAATTTCGTTAGCCAATAGCAGAGAAGGTTTAATTCCCGGTTCTCACAATGTCGATCATACGTGCCTGTATTGAATACTTGATATATTTTTGGTTTTATACTTCATAAATATTTCCATTAAGATAGCAAGAATGGGTAATGCGCCGCCCATTGGCAACGATATCCACTCTTTCGAAGAACCGAATTTCCTTACAATTTCCATTTGCCTAACTTCATAATCAATTCCTTCCTTATTCGCGCTTTCTTCATTCGCGGTTTCCTTATTCGCGGGTTAAAAAAATTCGATACAATTCCTCTATTCGCGGCTATAAATTTGTTTATTCGAGGATTCTAATAAGTACATACATAAGAATGAAACGATACTAATAGGTATCCAACCCAAATTCCGTATTCGCGGTTTTTCTATTTGCGGCACGTATCCCCCGCGAATAAGGAACTTTTACTGTATATATCGTGTATTGTAGTTTATCAGTAACGAGTAAAAAAAAAAAGCGGAAAGCAAAGATGTTCTCAATTATTATTTAATAGTCACGTGGGCGTGTTCTTTATTAGGTTTTGATTATTTTCAAGTTCTTTTGCAAATTTGTGGGCGACATCTTCATTTTTACGAAAAGATATATTAGAATAGTTTATCTCGGATTTCGGCAGGCGGAGACATGGACAAGCTTACGTGGATTCCGAATTTGAAATTGGGCAGGAATTTGTATACTTTATCTGACTTTTAAAGTTCGCTTCTCAGCGTTATAAAGATATTGGAAAGAAAAAAAATTAAATTTTGATATACGATAATATCGGGTATTCAATGCTCCTCAATTTTGTACAGGAGCTAGAGCATTGCACATAAAATATACATTTAAATTTTGGTGTATTTATCTGGGATGTAGTTTATGAGCAGAAAACCAATTTTTTATTCCTTTTGAAAAACAAAGGTGTTGCCAGTTTAAGTGGTACAGTAGACAAGTCCTTCGAACGGTTTGACCTTTTTTCAATACCAATATGCGTGTAAGAACTTCCAATATCAAATTCTGTCAAAATTGATGTTGATAGTTTCATTTTTTGCGGCCAAAGGAATGTTTCAAGCAGACATTACATTAGTTAGATGGACAGACGGACATGCTCAAATAGATTTAAAATTTGACGCTATGACGGATACCTGAAACTTCCTTCTGGGCGTTGCAAACGCTTTGACAAACTGAATACATCTCCTGTCCTTCGGTGACGGGTACATCGTTTCGAGTTGGGCTTCTAGTTGGTTAAGTGCAATTTCTCAATAGAAGAAATTTTTGAGAATTTTTGTTTATATTTACTCACGAGGCATTTATATAAAACTGGCAACGAATAATAAAAGCGGCATCTGCCCAGTGATACATGAACATACTTCAACTGTCTGTAAAAAGCAAAGAAGAGCTTTTATGTAATCACTTGATAAAGAAACGAATGAATAAACAAAAAATTAAAATCGTAACGTTATGGGCGAAGCGTGTGATGGTTTTACAGTCGTATCAAGAATTTTTTATTAAAAACGATGATATTTTCTTTTTTCTTTTGTAACTAAAAACAAGGTCCACCATTCCCTTTTCCCACATGTATATATATATATATATATATATATATATATATATATATATATATGATGTATATATATATGATGTATATATATATATATATATATCTAAATTTCATAATTTGGAATTTAAAATTTCAGGATTATCTACATGATTGCATGATAAAAATGGAATCGACTTTTGAGGAACACAGTCGTAACTTGCAGCCGTATTTAGTGAGTGTTGATACCCAAGGCCAGAATTTAAATCTTACAGCACAGCATATGGCGACAAGATCGACCGCAACTATTACTACCACACCAAAAACAGTCACAATAAGAGCAACGAGCGCACAGTCGCAAAAGTATCATTATCAGAAACAACAAACATACCAGAATAACAATATATCTCAGCAAGCGTCAACATCGCCTTCATCCACTACGACGATTCCTTCCCAACAGCAACAACAGCAACAGTCTCAACAACATTACAATCACTATAATCAAAATCATGCTGCGCATCATCAACATCATCATCATCAACAACAACAACAACAACAACATAATCAGCAGCATCATCATCATCATCACCATCATCATCATCATCATTTTCATCAAAATAATAACCATCATCATCATATACCTTCTAGCCAGGGTCACAGTATAAACGGCGGTGGCGGTGTTGTCGGCGGCAATGTTCTTTTGCCCGATTTAACGCAGACATGTAAAATGCAAGCGAACGCACAAAAAGAGGTGCAGGATGTAAAATTCTAAGTCGTAATTGATTAAGTTCTTATTTTATATATGATATATATACATTTCGTATGTAAATTATTTCCATTTGGAACGTAAGAAACACGAAAAACGAAAATGAAGTTATAATTAAAAAAAAAAAAAAAAAAAAAAAAAAAACTACCTATAATTTGTGAAAACAAAAAAACAAAAAAAAATTATTTTCGCTTACTTTTTACACATCTGGTGCTTTTCAATGTCTTTTCACTTCTTTAGTTTGTACATTTTTAAAAACAGAATTTCTTCGCTTTTTTTTCCTTTTTAATATAAGCAAAGACAATATTACATATATTATCTTTCTAGTTATAAATCGCATGTGAATTCATTCATAAGTAAAAAAAAAAAAAAAAACAAAATTTCTATAAAATGGGATGATGTTACTGCTAAGCCTGTTAGTAAGTGACTAATCCTTTTACGTTTATACCCGCCACCGGCTAGCGTTTTCGTTCCACTTCTAACATAAATAAATATTATGTGGAATCTCTGATGAACGTATATATAGACGATTGAAAATGTGAGTCCTGGATGTTTTTATGACAATGTCCGATTTCGCTTTGTCTTCGCTCGCATTTCCCCGGAAAA